TCAGGGTGAGCCACAGGTCCCTGACATGATGCAGCAGGTTACAATCACACAGTGTAGTGTGAAATGACAAGGCAAAGGATTCTGTCGATGGTGACACTCTTTTAGTGAAAGAAGTCTAAGGGCATCTTAATATTTTTAGCAGCCTTGTCCCACCGAGACTCACACTGAACTTATTCTCAACTCACCGCCTTTTGACCTACAGTCAGGTCAAATTTTCCCATTACTCTTTTCTGCAATCATCAATAAATCAACTATGCCAAAACCACTTAGTCCATAGGGATTTATGTTTATGTCTTGTTAGATTTCACATTACTGATTTTGGAGCCAGAGATAATTCTGTCATTTGGTGTAATATATTTTCATCTCAAGTCATAGGCAATGACAATTAGGGAGGGCCAGTGGTAGACTCGTGGAGGATCATTACTCTCTTTGTTTGGGCACTCCCCAGTCCATTAATCAGCACTCTCCTGGCTTACATGCATAATACAGTTGTCCTTCTGTATCTGGAGGAAATACTGGAAAAACTTCAGAAAATACTGGAAATATTTAAGAAAAAGTTGTGCTTGTATTGAACCTGTACAGGCCTTTTTCTTGAATGTTTCTTTAAAAATTCAGTGTAATAACCATTTGTATAGTATTTATACTACATGAAGTATGAAAAATCATCAGGAAATCATTTAAAGTGTGTGGGAGGTTGTACACAGGTTCTATGCAAACACTATATCATTTTACATAAGTGACTTGAGCATCATGGGTTTGGGTCTCCATAGGGAGTCCTGGAGCCAATCCCTTATGCATCTGGAGGAGGGCTCTATAGGGGACTGACTGCAAATCGACCAGGTATGTTCTGAGCATAAACTCTACTCCAGTACCCATTGTCTACCGCTGTTAGCTATGCTACCACAAAATGGATTTATTTGGGGATTAAGAGTCTTGGATTTAAGGCAGAAGGAAATTCACTATCTTTGAGCTTGGTGTTTCCCTGAAAGGAAATTAAGGAGAGTTAGAACACAAACTGTTTCTGTCCCTCTGGAAAACATCTGTGGGCATATACCCATGGTGGGACTGGAGGATCACGAGCTACACACGTCACTTTGTGGGCAGCCTGGAGCAAGCACAAACACTCAGGAAGAATTTTCTACATTTTCTAAAAGAAAGTTTCTGAACAAAAGAGACAGATTCTCCAGGAAACTACTTTCTCCTGCTGGGGATTTGGGAGAAAAAAAGTTTTCAACATACATTTTTATACTGTAAGACAATGACAGTATTTACTTCTGTAATCTAGTAAAAATAGTGATGTAGGTTACATTTTTGCCAGTAAAGATTAAATTTCATAAGGAGGTGACATCTGGGTATACATATTTTAAAGACCCACCCAGCCAGTTCCCTAGAATAAGGTACTGCTGGTCAAGGACACAAGCTTGCCACCTAGTGGTAACTCCTGTATATGACGGGATTAAATATGCAGAAAACAAAATTCCTATCGTTCATGCCTCTCCCTCTCTCTCTCTCCCACTCTCCCTCTCTCCCTCTCTCCCACCCCCCTCTCTGCAAAAGTGCTCCTGCTGAACCAGGATGCTTTTCCTCTGCACTCAGCGAGGCTTGTACTGAGGGCAGTGTAATCCTTTCAAGTAACAGATGAGTTGGGAAATGGCTCACAGGCTTGTCCCATCAGCTCTGCCTGCTGTACTGTGAGGACTCAGCACTCCCTCACTGCAGGGCACATCTCATCTATTTTGCCATTCACCTGCTATTCATCCCTATGATTTTTATGCACCAGGCTCAATAACAGTAAAGCAAAAAGAACCACATAAAGGCATTGGAATGATTAACTTGGAGGAAAAGCTTCAGTAATGACAGAATAATAAATTCATAACCAGTTTTTAACCTAGAATAGGGCTGAAACATCACTGTAAGTCAAATCATATTTTCTTATTAAAATACTTTGACCTGACCACGAACTTAAATAAAACATTCATATGATCAGTATCGATCTTTAAAGCTAAGCTACATTTTTATATTATGCTATAAGCATTAAAATAAAAATGCTAGAAATTCTCTATATATACTTACTGAAACCTGCAGCTGAATTAGACATATATTAAAAAATACATTCACAAGTATTAAACATGTAACTAGACAAAACCTTGTTAGAAATCTAACAATTTAGACGAAAATTGTCAGATCTGCAAAATGAAGCAGTAAAGCAAAATGTGCAGCTAGGCCTTTTTATTTATGTAGTAAACAAATGAATTCAGAATTTGTTACACAGAAGTAAATCCATGCAAGAGTGAAAGCAATGTCAAAAAAGAAATAAAAATTTTTATTATATACAATGTTACTGTGAAGCAGTTTTATTTTAGGGATAATGTAATTTTTGTTATCAGGGGCAAAAAAGAAAAAGAACTAATAGCCATGTATCTTTTTGTCTTCATAAAATACCCTTACAGGAGGCTTACAAGGAGCTCAGTAACTCATTCAGTCACGAGACCTGCCAGTGGATGAATGAAGCACTTAGCTTTGAACTTTGTCCACCTGGTTCTAAGTCTTCAGTACGTGAAGGTGCACCTCTTCTGATAGTACTCTTGTATTTCCACAGAAAGTTTTACAGAATTGCAAAGTAACAGAGATTTCACGTGCAATTAATGATGTCATTCTGATTTTGTTACATGTATTACATTTTTTTATTCTGTGATAGAGTTATTCCTGCAAAATTAGCCAACATCTGTCCCCTATAATAAAAAAAATCACTATAATGGAGAATAGACTTGGTAGATTCCATGTGGTATTTTAAACTTATATTATGAATGACTATAATTGTTTCTGTATATATTTCAGATTCTTAAATTAGAAAAGCGGGGAAAAAGGAGAGAACATCTTTTCTTTTTGGTTAATTTAAAGTAAGATAAGTTCCAATGTGCACAGAATTTAAAAGGGTCCTGCAAATGGTAATTTTAGTAAAAGTACACTGCTATGTAATCATTGAAGGCATTTACAGAAATAGATAATGCTATGGTGTGGAGCAAATAAACAATAGGTGCCCAAAACTGAACGGAAAATAAAAAAAGGGAAGGGAAGTGGGCTTTTAATTTTCAATCACTTCAATTTTGGAGCTTAGAGAAGTTATTAAACAAGGGTCCACTTGTAAGTCTGTTCTCAAGGGAGAATCCTACATAACTCAGGTCACAGGAATAATGAATGTAGTTGACAGAAAATTGCTGCAGTTTAAGGAGGCAACTATGCAGAAGAGAATGTTTAGGCTGCTGCAGAAATGTGGAATTTGAGGTGCAATTAAGTCAGAACTCCATCATTTGACCTCGGATGCCTTCACTAACTGTAGCCAGTAGCTACGTAATTGCAAAGAACTAATTACTTGAATGCCTATCTTTTCTTCCTGCATGTCAAATTCACGAAGGAATGCATCTCCCCTGTTTCCTAGCACAGGACCTGACATAGCACGCATTCAGTTAACCTTCCCACAAATGTAGTTCAGTGGCTTTGGAGTAGGTCAGAACCAGATTGAGATCTTGACTTTTCTACTTCCAAACTGTCACAAACTTGGGTAGGATAGCTACCTTCTAGTCACCCAGTGTCTTTATCTGTGAAATGGGACAGTCAAAGAATTTACCCCATACTGGTGGTTGTAAGGATTAAACAAGATAATGACCATAAAGCACTCAGCACACGGCTGAGCTTGTAAGTGGTTCTCGATTGCAGCAGATTTTATCAGCTCTGATTCATGAGGTAGAAGTTAAGGTGCTCATCCTCTTTAAACCTGAGCATGTATTCAGATCACCTGCAGGAGCTATGTGCAATGTGGATTTCTATACCCTGTCACCAGACACCAATTTCTGATTTGGTAGAGGTACACAGGAGTCCAGAAATTTGTTTGTTTGTTGAGACAGGGTCTCACTATGAAGTTCAGGTTGGCTTTGAACTCACTATATAGCCCAGGTGGACCTCGAACTCATGGCAATCCTCCTGCCTCAGCCTGCTGGGATTACAGGCATGCAATCCATCACATCCAGCCAGAAATTTGCATTTGTAACAGGCATCTGGGAGTAATTCTGATGGAGGGAGTCTTTGGACCACCCTTGGAGAAATACAGTGTTAGAGGGTCCTCAATCCTCAGATTACTGAAGAGATGAGTAAACTAACATAAATCTCATATTACATGTGATGCCCAGGGATGGATAATGAAACTATCATTACATTTATATCTACATAGTATGTACATGCTATGAATATTATACGTTTTACATATTGATGTAAAATTAAAGTTCTAGCTTGAGCAGCTGGTAAAATTCATGCTACTTCCCATATTTCTGAGAGACCACTCCCTTTACCCAGTCTTACTTTTTTCTTCTTTCTCATCTGACCCCTTAGTAACTGGGCTACAAAGGGACCCTCATTTGCTAATGTGGAGAACACTCAATGTTTCCTTAGCAAAATGGAATTCAAAGCAAACTAGATAGTTCCAAAGTAAGGGAAGGCTTTTTAAAAATCCATCTTTTCCATGGTTATTTTTATGCTGAGGAGCTGGTGTCTTTAAAGTCCCTTATGATTTATTTCTCTTAGGTTTCAGATTATATCATTAAGATGTAAAGCTAGGATGACTAAAAGAAAGTACAAATGGGCTTCCTTTTTTTTCCTCCAGGAAAAAACTTCATAACCTAAAAGTGCTGTAAATAATTAAAGTACATGTAAATGCCCCCGGTCACTATCTTGTCCTAAACTAGGTCGTTGACTAGATCTAATAAGCTCTATTTCCACTCTTGTGCTTGGTTCTCTTTATTTGCTAGTAAGTCCGGTGTTCTTAACGGCACACGAACACTGAAAGATCAACTTAAAAGATTAATTTCCCAGGAGCTACTGAGCTGGAAATGAGCTTTCTAAGGTAAACCGTTTTAAAAGAAAGGAAAGGAAAGACAACGGGGGAATTTACATTCAGTCATACAGGTCTGGAACTCAGGATGCCCTGAAGCTGGCATTCCTCTTACCAGCAGGTTCTCTGGCTTGATGTCACGGTGGACGATGTTCAGGCTATGCAGGTATTTGATGGCACTGGCCAGGTTGTACAGCATCCCACTGGCATCGCGCTCCGTGTATTTGTTAGTGGAAGTAATGGCATCGAAGAGGTCTCCGCCCTGAGAAGAGAACAGCAGGCAGGGCAGCACGTTAACAGATGGGCGATGGTGCTGCCTGCAGGGAGAACTGACAAACCACGGAGAAAATGAAGAATGGATGCAGGCTCTCCCTGTCACTTGCCTCTCAAAGGACCAAAGACTTCATGGTCTTTCCTTTTCTCACTCTGAAAGAATGGCATTTCCTCCAGAGTCTGAGAAAGAAACAGGATGACTCTCTGACTGCAGACACGTGGCCACCTCCACAGCCCCCACCTGAGAAGAGGTGAGGGGGCTGGGTCCCCAGGGCAGAGGCCTCGTGAAGCGTGGGCCACCTTCTGGCACGTGCAGCTTGCCTCACACAACTGCCAGCTGAAGTGCAGATTCATAACCCTCAACCTCTCCCAACGACAAGCAGGTAATGCTGTAAAGTGTGCTCTTAAGCTTCTGTTGCCTTGTGTGAAATTACACACACACACACACACACACACACACACACACACACACACACACACGCACACTCTTTGCTTCTCTAGATTTAGCTCTCTTGGAGTAGCTGTGCTGTTTTCTTTTTCAGTAATAGGCTTCTTTGTAAGGAATGGAAAAAAGGACCAGAAACCATCACACCAAAGATGAGAGAGAAAGAGAGGGCGGGAAGGTAGCGAAATACCAGAGAGAGTTTTCCAGGACTCTTATTAATTTGAAGTTTTGCCTCCCTTGTTCCTTGTTAATTTTGCTACTTGGTGAAACAGCAAGTTTGGCCTCCAGTTTAGGTTACTTTTATTTGAAACCCTTTCAGGGAATTTGGGTCTGATTTACTAACAATGTTCCCATCTCTTGCGTACAGTGCACCAGACAGTGATCTCAGAGATGTTCGTCTGTTATTTGATGTGGAACTTAATTTTCTGTCTTAAAACAGCAAAAATAAAATATAGCCCTGGGAGGTTAATGATGTTTAGATCTCACTACCTGGACTGGACCTTCTGTTCCCCTCTACAATCTCTATTCCGCAAACTTCTCTCACTGTGCCTTAAGCAGTAACAATTCTCAGACTAAGCTCATGCAGTTGTGTTTTGTTTGCCAACAAATTTTTTATCTCTCAATTTTCTGTTTCTCTCAAAGGCAAGGCAGGTTTGTCCGTCATCTCCTACCATGGGAGGAGGCTGGGTATTCACCTGGATACTGAACAGCGTCCTTGTGGTGGCACGGTGGATGTGGGAGGCTGCACGTGGGTCCCTTAAGGACTCTGGAATTGTCCTGCTCATGGAGGTCAGACATGCTGTCATCTCTTCTTCCACCACAAAACAGTCAAGAAATCTTACCAGCCCTGTCTCTAAAGCAGTTCTTAGACACATCCTTCTGGCCTATCTCACATCTAATTACTCAGAGTGTATGACCCTATTGTCCTGAATTGCTGTCCTGTGGCATTACCAATGGCACTGCTCTGTGCTTCTTTATTCTAAGCATCCTGCACCACAACCTTTACTTTCCCCTTAGTGATACTTTATTTCTCTCAAAAAATCACCACTGTACTGTATCCCTAAAATGTACCAATACACTCAAAGTTGAAAAAAAAATCACCACTCCTCCCCACCGTCTGAGGAAAGGCTCTTTGTGATTTGCTCCCAAAGTTCATTTCAATTTGTTTAATTTCATATTCCTCCTCCTCCTCCTCCTCCTCCTCTCCTGCTCCTTCTTCACACTTCTAGGGATTGAATGCAGGACCTTGACACTGAGCTACATTCTCAGTCCTTCCTTGCTTTTTATTTTGTGACAGGATCTTGCTAAATTGCTAAATCGTTCAGGCTGGATTTGAACTTGTGATCCTCCTGACTCAGCCTCTCCATGTGTTGCAATTATAGGAATGTTCCTCCACACTCAGCTGTTCTGCCACTTCCTAAGACAATAACCTTTATGCCCCAGGTCGTGTAATAGGCAGGGCAAATGTCCTTAAAAGTTAGCATTTTTATTTTAGAGATAAAATGCTTTTCTAAGAATGACCTTCTCCTCTCCTCAACCAGCAGGAGTGGACAGAATATACAGATGCTGGCTCTAGGAGGTTGGAGTCCAATCTCCAGAAAAGGGGCCAGGAGGAAAAATCTTGAATATCCTGGGTATAAAATAGTATAGAAATTTCATTATCTATTGTCTTACTGTATTCCATTTTCCCTCTCTTCCTACTACACAGGGTCCTTGTATAAGTGAACACAATGATATAGTTATCTGTGGCAATCAGTATGAGGCCCTTTCTTTCCTGGGGGCAAGCTTTGAATAAAGCCCTTTTCCCTTTTCACCAAGCCACCCATTTTGGTGGTGGTGGGGCAGTCGGAGCAAGCAGAGAACTGAGTGGCTGGGAACAGTAAGATATTTCTGGCCAGGGGTTCGAAACAGGCCAAGGTTCTGTCACCCTCAGGGTCCCCTTCCTGGGATGCCCTTCCCACTCTCCTTTGCGGCAGTCTTCTGCGGCTCCTCAAGTCCCTCAGCAGCGCTGCCTCCTCCACCAGACCTCCCTTCCTCTGAACACAAGAGCTATGTGCAAGGATCACTCGGAGGGCAGAAATCTAAAGTCCTACTCCTATTGGAATTTCACTCTTAATAACTGCTACCTCACTGCTTCCCAGAGCCCAGGCCTCTCCTGGATATTCCACTGGCCCTCAGGGTTGGAGAAGAATGAATGCCCGCTCAAGTTTCTCAGGGGAACGTTCAAATCAAGGTTGCGGTTGGCCTGTACTTCCCAGGAAGACTCCACACCAGGGCAATTCTGAGTCTGGCATTGTTTGGTAGCACAACTGTGCTCAATGCTTCACTAAAGACCCTCCGTGACCTTGTTAGGATGTCTTGGTCATTGAGAAAATCACAAAGGCTACTAAGTGCAATGGAGACCTTACTATAGTCACCTGACCAGCATATGCTTGACAATCAGACTGATTTCCCACAAAATGTGCTATAAACGCTTGAGCCTTTGCCTCTTTCATCCCTCATCTCTAAATTTGATTTAGTTTCAGATCTCCAAAAACCAATCAGCATCAGTGACCTAATCAGTATGCACATGGAGGGAGAATAGATACGGTTTGAGCTATTGGTATAAAAAATAATGTCATGATAAAGATGCTATTCTTGGTGCCTGAGAAGATATAATTGACAAGGTTGTTAAAAAGATAATTCGATAATAAATACCAATATGTTGGTCCAAATAAATAAAATTGACCTGTGCTTGTTGGAATAATAATTTCACAGTTTTATCACAATGATACTGTCATGTTTTTATCATTCTCAGCCTCAAACACGACAATAATTTTGTCAGCCTCAAACATGGCCATACTCTTGGGTTATTACTAACTAACCAGCCTTCACTCTTTCAGAAGAAACAGGTCATAACTTGGTGAAGAAAAAAGGGGAAAATATAATTAAATAAGTAGCCACCAAGTTTTTAAAAAACCAGCACATCTAAAGTCAAGCAACTCTTGAAAAGAATGAGACTCAAAAGTGGCTCCTCAAGCCCGGACCCTGGCTGCCAGTGCAGAGTTAATCCAGAAGGGAGTGTAAGTAATTTACAATACCTTACAACCAAAGCAGAAATTACCTAAGGCTTCCAGAAGGTTAGCATACTAGCAGAGCTTTGAGAAAAAAATAACCTCATAAAAATGAAACATTCCAGTTTTAAAAACTTCTAATTACTGATAATTTCAAATATACAAAAGTAATGAGAACATTCAGCCATTACCAACACCTGGCTGATCAATATTCTCTGTTTTCATAGGGTAACAAGGTCATTTTATGTAACATGATGAGATTTCAATTTTCACTGAAAGGAAGTAGTCTATTTACATCATTATTATACCTGTTATTTTTTTATTTTGTTGGTGACTAAAAGTTTAAAGCCCATTTTTCACAAAATTGTTGAAACCTCTGGGTATAGTTCATAGAAAAATGAACAATATTCTACTACAACAATGACAAAAATTGTATTGGTATTTAATACTTTCTGTATTATACAGGTGGTGGAAGTGAGACACAGGGAAAAATACCCAAGGTTGAGGAGCTACATGGTCCAAGGCCAGGTTGTATGTCCTTCTAGTACAGTTCCATCACTGCTAATTTTCTTCAGTCCTGGGGATTCCCCAGGGCCTGCTGCATGCTAGGCAAGTGGTGTGTTGATGAGGAGCATCCCCAGCCTTTCCTTAAATATTGTTAATCACTGTTCCGATATAAAGAAATGACAGGCTGGATACTGGTGGGAGGAAATAAATAAAAGAGTGATATGACTCAGAAAGGTATGATGTGATATAGGAAATGCATCTCTTTTCCAAAATACACACCTTTACTAATTCCATGACAAGATACAGCTCAGTTGGCACATCCATCTCCTCAATCAGAAGAACAATATTGGGGTGCTTCACTCTTCGTAAAATAGATACTTCATTCTGGATCATGTGCTCCTGTCCAAGGGAAATATACAAAACATATGAGTCACTAGCTTAAAATAATGTGACTATACTGGTCTAAGGATCAAGAGATATATTTTGGTAAATAATGACATTTTGGTAGCCTAGAATTGTTAAAGGATATCGAAGGTCCTTAGATAATGAAATCCAGATTATTAGAGCACAAAAATAAGGCAAGTAAAACATAGAAAAGAAATCATTCCAATTAACTTTTCTTCCAAGAGTATTTACAAAGTTATATTCTAACCAGTGTATAGCATTCTATTTTACCAAAATGCAACTCTGAAGATGAGATTATGTTTATTTGCAGCTGATTCTCATTTCTACCTTCAGAACCCATTTTTCATAAGAATAAACATTATACATACTTTGCCTCGACATTTGCTTTTCTTGATAATTTTCAGAGCATACTCCCTAGCAGTCGACCTGCAAAGAGAAAGTATTTTTTACAATAAAATTTAATTTCTGATGAATTGAATCATTTTAGATTCTTACCCCACGGATCTCCCACAGTGGCATGAATATTTTGTGAAATGCTCTTTTCTGTTTTTAAAACAAAGAAATATGCAATTGTTTATGCAGACCACCTGCAAGGACAACAAATACGCTAGCACAAACACATCTTGAGCTGTCTAAATTGTTGTACTTGCACCAAAAATAGTGCCATTGCTACTGTCATGCTTCACTTAGTTGCTTAGTTGCTCCTCTCTTCTTGGAGGTGACACAGCAGGTGTAGACAGGTGTGACTTTCTGCCCTCCTTCCTGCCACAGCCTTTCTTGATGTTCTCTATCCATGAGGGCAGTAGTAACCATTTTCTGAAAGGTCCTCAGGGTCGTTATGAGGACTTCCAAGAAGCAGATACAGTGTCTAGATTTCAGGTCAGTGTGAGAGCCTGTCTTGTAAGAGTTGTTGGAGAACTCAGAGATGACGAGATATTTTCAAGGTGTACAATTATTTCAGGAGCTTCCTGGACTCTTTGGGTCTTTATAGTTGTCTCATTTCATAGAAAAAAAAAAATGGAAGGCACAATTAAAGTCAACTAACTTTCCCCAAATCACACTGAAGTGTTAAAATCAGGACTCTCAGTTCCTGGGGTCCATCCTTCCCTCAGCCAGCCACAGCACCCTCCTTTGAGACGGGTGTGGGAGGAAGGGTTCAGTTATACTGTTACTGTTTCCTAAGGTGTGTCAACATTTCTAAGCCAGTAGTGCCAAACTTAAGGAAATGGTTAGTGTCAAAGGACACAGTGCACACTCAATAATCACAATAAACCACTACATCACATGCACTGCACTTTTCATTTCTGCTGCTAAGCCACAGGAATCTAGCTTTTACCGAGCTTTTATACAGATGGAAGCCAATGATATGGATCCAAATGTATGCAATGGAAATGAGTTTAAGAATAAAATTACAAAAAAATGTTTTAAAATCTTCAGGATGGTGAATTAAATGGAATTTCCCAGTTATGTGGTTACAACAATAAGGTGAGTTGATTATAGACAGATTAAGAGGCCACGTATTAAAAGTGTGTTTCGAGTACGGGGGATTTAGCTCAGTGATTCTGCCACCTTCTTGAAAGCACAAGGACCCAAGTTTGATCCCTGGTACCAAAAAAAAAAAAAAAAAAAAAAAAAAAA